CCCCTGTGCAACGTTAGAAGCTGCATGGATGCATGTCTTCAGTGCTTCCAATGCCTTGCTGTATGTTCCTTCTTCTCAACAACCCTACACTATAAACATAACTCCAAGTAAACGCCTTTTGAGAGATCAGTACACAAGGGGAGGATGAGTGAGATGTCGTGAACGATCGCTGTGACCATCACCATGAAGTGAGGTACTCCAAGAGCCGCTGAGCGGTAGCTACCATGAACTCCTGAGAGAGCCTTTCGCATGATTCAATCTCGTTTGACTAGCAAGTCTGGGTCTCTACTTGCGTGCTAGCTGATCGGCTGGGTGATGTTGCAAATCTCCCTTTTATTGTGCGGAAAAGATCCATTTGAAACTGACATATCAACATTTGAATATTGGGTTGATAAGTTGACAAGTACGTTTTCAACATGTTCCAAGTAGAGCTGCCATGGCAATACCGTGACCCGGATACGTCGTGTATAGTAAACATAGCACGAGAGCATTCGATCACGAGGTAGGCCATGTAGTAAACATTCACAGTCTTAACGTTTGTATAGACTGCAACGCCCCCCGCCCCTGCTCCTACTCCTGCTCCTGCTCCTGCCCCCGCCCCTGCTCCTACTCCTGCTCCTGCTCCTGCCTCCTGCCCCTGCTCCTGCTCCTGCTCCTGCTCCGTCTCCTGCTCCTGCTCCTGCCCCCGCCCCTGCTCCTGCTCCTGCTCCTGCTCCTGCTCCTGCTCCTACTCCTGCCTGTCCCAGCCCATACTCCCGCAGCCTGCTCCTGCCCCTGTACCTGCCCTTGCTTCTAATCCTCTGTTGTTCGCGCCCGTGCGCATCATTGGAACGTCTTCACTCAGCGATCTCTTGCAAGACATCTTGAGGTCTGCAGCCAGAAGTTCCAAGCACCTGCTCCACTGCTTCTCGTACGAAACGATACGGACAGCTCGATGTCAGCACCTCCCCTGCTGCCTCCTCCTCGCTCGACCATCAAGATCCTTCACGTCTCTCCCTGGACCTCCAGCAAGTCCTCTGAAAGGCGATCGTCTCTCCCGACCCAGACTTTCTCCCCTGCTGTTGCTCCTCTCCTCAAGCCCTCCTCCTCTTGCAACGACCTGCTCTCTAACGTCATGGCCGCGAGGGCGAGAAGGGAGAGCGCGAAATCACTTCACATTGATTCAGAAACTGATGTCTAGCTATGAGGATGAGCTCTTCTAGGGTTGTAGTTTATTGCAATGTTCAGATAGGCGATGTACCATAGTAGTCGATGGAACTTCCGAAGTTGAACGATGGTTTACCAATGAAGACTGTAACTTTCATCTCCGGCACCTGACGATGACCATGATCGTTCCTATTGCGTAGACAAATGTTTAGCCCATTCTACAATATCCGTGACGCTTTTTCTGGGTTGCTCCTCAGGCCTGTCCTACAGTTTCTGTCATGTGTTGGTGAGATGGCTCAGTACCGTCAGTCGCGATTCAGAGATACTTACATCAGCGACAACATCGTTGCACTTGAGGCCCGTTTCCCGCCGGCTCCCAGATTCCAGATTCCAGACTTTACGTATTGAGCACCGACGGCCCGGCCTCCCCTACGGCCTCAACGGCACCCCGGACGGCCATATCAACTCGCAAACTTCTTTACTCAAAGTTAAGTTAAAAAGCAGTACGAGAACTCGAGTCCTCGCAGTCCCGGCTCCGCATCCCCTCGGGCATCTTCACTCAACCGATGTGTGGTACTATTCCGGGTGCGAGGTATGACTAGAGCCTAGCTGACCTACGGATCGGAACACTCCGTAAAACTTTTAACAGGAATTATAAAAAGTACTCCAAAACCCAACGATTGGAAATCAATGACACGTAGTAAAATCACGTTACCACGGATTTACAGCCCGTGGCGTTTGCTCCTTTCACACCCGTGGAAACATCTAGACTCCCCCTCTCCCTCCTCGTCCTCCTCCTCATCACCACCATCCACTACTAAAGCTCATACGCCTTCACGGTCTGGAGTTCTCTTTGAACTTTATCATTTCATCCTCCTCA